GAAGAAAAACTGATAGCAGCCAGTCTGGCCATCTTAGAGAGAGCAGTCACTCTCCTAAGAAACCACAGGAGGCAGCATAGGCCCAGGAGTGTGCAGATTGTGGTGTGTGAAGACAGGGAACTCTTGCTTTCTTGGAAAGGACAGGGATGGGAGGACCTTGGGCAATTGAGGACCGGCTGAGCACAAATGGACAGAGCTCAGAGAGAGGTTACAGGCCACATCACAACAAATCTCGTTTTGTAGATTTCAACTGGTGATTCTGGAACGGGGGCAGCCGTCCAGCCCTAAATAGTTCAGAATGCTCTATGCTCTACCTCACGAGGCAAGTGAGATTTAAAGCGAAAGAGGGGTACAAAGACAGTTCAGTTGCTAACAGCTAACTACCGTCCAGCTGAAAATGTTTAGACACTCGGTGGATTGTGACTGACGGGATTCCTCCTGTTAAGACAGCAGTTACAATTTGTTTCTCCAAGGTAGCTTACAGTTCACTCATGTACAGAGAAATCTCTAGAAAGGCCTTCACAGCCTGGGCCTAGTCATGACTTGACAATTTTTTTTTTTAATTTTTTGAGACAGGGTTTCTCTGTGTAGCTTTGGAGCCTGTCCTGGAATTCACCCTGTAGACCAGGCTGGCCTCAAACTCACAGGGATTCGCCTGCCTCTGCCTTCTGAGTGCTGGGATTAAAGGCATGCACCACCACCGTCTGGTGGCATTGACAATTCTAACAGCGTGTCGGAGCCTCTGTTTCTTCATCTGGGAAATGGGAATGATAAGCATTGCACATTTTTTATCACCCAGAATTACACACACATGCGCACGCACACACACACACACACATGCACACGCGCGTGCACGCACACACACACACACTGGCAAAGCTACCCTGCTCATGTTCCTACCTCCTCAAAACTAAGAATCTACACTGCCTTGCCGACACTCCCAAAGCCACTCAGAGCAGCGGTCCAGAAGGCATGTCCACGTTAAACTCAGTACTTAACGCACTCGGGTAGCATCTACCTGGGACTCCTTGCTAAGCTTTGCTGAAGTAGGGCAGGGAAGATAATCCCAGGGCTTCACTGATGTTGACATCCTTGGTGATGGGCCCAGAAGGCAAGGGTTTTCTCTTTTGTAAAAGAGTGAAGTGAGCTAGGAGCTTGCACGGATTAGAGAAAACCCGGGGGGGGGGGGGCGCTAGAAATTGAGTCAGCTGGGCCTAGCACAGCAGTTCCTAACCACTAAGCCAACTGGCTGGGCGGGGAGGGGATGAGCAGATGATTGCTTAGCCCTCCATTTTAATCCCTTCCAGCAGAAAGCATCTGAAGAGCAAACCGGGCTGTACGCGTTCTCGGTTTGGATAAAGAGGTAAAACCTCAGGGTCCCTCTCCAAAGCAAACTGGTAATTTTTCCCTTTTGTTGCATTCCAAGCGCGTATGCACTTTCCGCCTGCTCCCTGGCCGTAACATCCTCGCAGAGGCTATGGCTTATGACCTATCATCACCTTCCAGATCAGCCCGGAAAGGACGAAAAATATGATGTGAGAGCTTTTCCTCCCTAGAAGCCAGTCTTAAGGAATGAGCCCTTTTCAGAGGAAAAGCAGGCTTGTTGAAGGGCCAATACACCGTGGGTTGATTTTAACCCTGTGCGATGCGATAGTAATTATGTATATATAATTTCTGTTTAAGAACGAGCTGAGGAGAGCTGGGAGTTGCCTGGCTTGGGTTTATAGGTTGTGTGAAACAAAACAAAGGGATACAGTTCTTTGGGGGAGAAAAGAAATTGAAAAAGAAAAGAAAGCTCCCCTAGGTTTTAGAGACGGCAATAAAGAAAGTGAAGGTGTGTGGTGTCATGCCAGAAGCAAGGCCTGAAACCACAGCCCTCCCTGTACCTGATGACCCTCACCGTGGTTGACGATGACTGGCTCAGGGTATGGAACAATAATGCCCCACACACCTGGCATCACCCAATGTGAACGGGAAGCCAGGTTCTTTTGAATCCTGATCGTTAGCTTCCTGCTGAAGACCATCCATGACAGAGCCGAGAGTATACAAGCCTATTGTCCAATTTCCTTTTATTTTCCTTTCCCAGGGGCACTTACTGCCATCAGGGAAAGCTGGCAGCCGTCCTCTGATAGGCTCAAGTGGTTGCAGTCAAGCACAATAATGCCTGCAAGGCTGCGCTCGTGTTGCGCTCAGGGGTTGGTGGGGAAGGAAGCCACCATTGACTGGCAAGTGCGCACACAAGTACAAACAACCCCGCCAAGCTCCGTTTGCTCAGTGGCAGACACACAGACCGGAGTCATCCGGTGTCATCAAGGGTCCAAGTCACAGGATAGCACATCTGCCTCCCAAGGAGCTCCTTGGAAATGTTTCAAAGGGATTGGCTGCCACGAGAGAGGAGAAGAATGAGAGGATTGGCTGGGCATTGGCTCCTCCATGGTCTGGTTTCTAAGGCGTCTTGAAAAGCCACTGAGACCTTGGAGGGGAGATGACTGGTCCGCTTGAGCCTGAGAAGATCTACGTCAGTCCGTGTCATCTGTCAGCCCGCGTACTCTTAGCAGTCTCAGAGACATCCTGGAGAGAATTTTGTTTCATGGGTATCATGCATACTTTTCCATGGATTGATTTCAAGATGGGATTCTAATTTCTGCACTAGCCTTCTGATTTTTAAATATTGTGTTGGTAAGAAGCCAACTCATTTGAATGTCCACTAACTGCAACTTCAGTTACTACAACTCAGCTGATCCCTAGTAAGACATCACCACACCTGCCAGGACCTCTCTTGACTGCGCATCCGAAGGCCACAGACCTTGTGACTGGCCTGGACCATAAACATGTTGCATGCTCTACTGACTATTTTAAGCAAAAAATAATAGTGAGAACAGTTTATCTCATGTCCAGATACAGAGGCATAGGCCACATTACATATAACAGGTTCAATTATAAATATTTAATCACAGATACCACTATGTCTGCCTATTCCTATCTTTGGGCGACCACTTATCTGAACCCTTCCAAGCCCCTGATTATGTGAAATCTAAAACCCCATTGTTGGACTTGGAGATACAACACTCCCCTTGCCCTTTGTAAACATGTGTACACACGCAAGTGCATTTGGAGTTCTAGCTAAAAGAATTAACTCGGTACAGTCATCAAAGCCCTGGCCTCACCGCTGCCTTGGTTGGCTCTGTAGGTGTCAGGTGGATACAGAGAGAAGCCTTTGGAAGCCTAACTGAGACCTTCCCAGATGTACTGTGTAAGACAGGAGGCAGAAGCTGAGCTGAGCCACCTCCGGGTGACCAGGTGACAGGGCAAGGAGTGTCTGCAACGCTTGGAGAACCAAGTTAGATGAATGACAGGATGAAGAACGGAGAAGGGAGGGGCTGGAGAGGACGAGGGGAGCGATGCCTTCCTGGTCCCTTGACCTGTAAAAGGAGCGCTAGACTAGCGGTTCCCAACATGCGGGTCACGACCCTTTTGGGGTCTCATATCAGATATCCTACATAACACATATTTACATTATGGTTCATAACAGTTGCAAAATTACAGTTATGGAATAGCAACTATGAAATCGTTTTATGGTTGGGGGTCACCGCAACTTGGGGAGCTGTATTAAAGGGCCTCCACCTTAGGAAGGTTGGGAACCACTGCTCTAGACAGCTCTGACTCCATCCGGCAGATATCGCTCACTCTAATCCCAGCCTGCCTCCACGTGCTTGCTCAGCCTTTAGCAGGTCCCTCTCTATCTATAGTTCTTTTCGTCTTTCCCTCCTGTCTCTCCCTCCTATTGCCATATTTTTTTGCTCTGAGGCTGCCTGTCCCCCCCCCCCCACACCCCACCCCCATGGACTGGTGAGTGGAAGTCACTTGGAGGTCAGTTAGGAGAACTGGACCCCGAGGACTCAGCCAGAAGGTGAGGTTAAAAGAGCAGACAGATGGCCAGGGTGTGTGTTGGGGGAGGGGTGTCAGTGAGTGCTGGCCCATGTGTAGAGCACACAGAGTGTTGGTGAGGCAAAACTGCCTGTACTCTCATCAAGAGACCAGTGAGGCAGATGGCACTACCCCCCTCCAGCACTAGGGAGGCATCTCAGCCTCTCACTCTGAAGTGCTGTGGGATACTGGGATCCAGGTTACCTCCAGTCTTCTCCCATAGTCCTGCTCCTAAGCATGCTTGCTTCGTGCTTGGGTGAGACCTCCCCCCAGGGCTCCAGGGGTTCTGGCTTCCATCTCCCCGCTTGCGGTGCAGGTCCTCCATGGAGCTAGTGAACTGCGAGCCCAGCGTGAACTCCAGAGCTCAGCTTCTGGCTTCTTGGCTCTTGCTGCTCCTCAACATGGCCCCCTATTGCTTTCCAAGTTACTGCTTTTTTGGCTGCCAATGGGGCTTTTGTAAGAAGTAGCCTCAGATGCATTAATCCAAGTCATGCAAAAGTGAGGCTGGCCTGTGGACAGTGTTCTTGGCTGCTTCTCTGCTGGGAAGTTGAGTTCTACTGGCTCTAGGGTGTGGCTTTTCCATACTCTGGGAGTCTAGAATTTACATGAGGAGGACTTCTTTTTATTTCATTTATTTATTTTTACATGTATGCATGTTTTGCCTACATCTGACATTGTGGTGCCCGTGGAGGCCAGAAGAGGGCGTCAAATCTCCTGGGACTGGAGTTCCAGACAGTTGTGAGCAGCCATGTAAATGCTGGCAACTGAACCTGGTCCTCTGGGGAAAGCAGTCGTCTAAACTATTAAGCATTTCTCCAGTTATGAGGACCTTTTAACCCAGGTAAGGTTTAGAATTCCAAAAGTATGTGTGTTAGGAGAGAGATCACGGCCACTCAAAGCTTCTTCCTCCCTCCCTCCTTCCCTCCCTCCCTCCCTCCTTCCCCCCCCCCTCCCTCCCTCCCTCCCTCCCTCCCTCCCTCCCTTCCTCCCTCCCTACCTTCCTCCCTCCCTCCCCACTCCACATCCTGCCCACCCTTCTAGGCAAGAGCAGTCATCACTTGGGTCTGAGTGACTTACGTTAGAACCCCAGGGTTGACCCTGAACTGCTGAAGCCCAGTGCCACTAATGGGGAGGCCTCTTCCTACACAGCCACTTGTCCAGCAGAGGGTGAGCGTTTGCAGCATATGGGCCCTGGGCATTCTGTACAGATCTGTTAAAAACTCAAATGAGTCTGAACCACAGACACCATTTGATGGGCGGTTGCTCTGCTTGTCGTTTCTCCTCCACGGAAGCAAACCCCACCAGAGCAGGACTTTATGAAAACCACTCTTCACTGTATCTCTAGTACCTGGGACAGAATCTGGAACACAGAAGGTGCTGTGTGAGTGTCTGTGATGGAAATACAAGAACAACCCCAACTCCTGCTGTGTCATGACTGGAAGAGGCAGAAGCGCAAAGTCTGTCTCGGTTGTCCATCCATCCACTGGTTACGGGAGCAACCACTTCTCCCCGCCCTACTTCCAGATCACCCCTACTTTTGCAACACCCCTTCTTTCCTCTTGTTTTTCTTGTGATTCACACAAGCGAGCCCATTCCCTCTCTGGTTCCAAACCACTGCCCATGCTGTTTTCCCCTCAGCTTGCCTCTAGTGAGAAAAGACAAAACCCTCCCAGATGTGTGACTCAGAGAAATGGACTAAAATGTCATCCAAAGCCACAGGGAATTTCTCAGCCTTGCACCACGGACACTGGGCTGGGACTCCCAGCTTCGGTCAAGACAGACGTTTTCAAAATCCAACACCCTGAAACCCCCTTCACCTCCTCCTGCGGTCCCTCCCACTTTTCCTGCTTCGTGGTTGCTGTACTTGGCCACCTTGGGTGAAGGTTCGCTTCCATCCCAGCAAGTTTCCATCACTGCGGGGTGGGAGAGAACTTCAGTCACCCTGCAGGCCACGCCCCGCTGCGGCACCTCCCCTCCAGCAGCTGTAGCTGCCCATTGAGGATGGAGAGACATCAGCCACAGCCGGGTTTCGCCATGGGCTCCCAGCCAAGGTGCCTCAAACTTCCGCTGCACCTGGAAACAGGACATGAAAAATACAGGTTAGAAGGGAGCCATACTGCTCCATTCAAAAGCCTCATTCATGAAATTTAAAACAAAGCAAAAACAAAACCTTGCAGCACGCACGCTGCTCTGTTTAGCACGTTCTTTCTCTTTTCCTCTAGTATTTGGAGAACAGGTCCCAGTGCTTGCGTGTGAAAACACAGAGGAAGAGCCAGGGAAAGGGGGTGAAGAAGGGGGTGAAGAAGGGGGGCGGCTGAAGAAGGAAGCCTCAGGCTCAGGCACGCGAGCACAAAGAGGGCCCAGACACCCATGGAAGAGAGGTAATCCCACACTCGCATATGACAGGCAGCGACAGGTTGAGAAATGGCCATCCAGGTCACGGGAAGGTCATTGACAAGTTTTTCAAGTTTCCCGGTAGAAAAATGACTAGGTCAGCTAAACTTCCAGCCACCCTGACTGAGAGAAGCCGAACCTGGCACCCAGGGGAGTAGATGAATGGCTCCTGCTGGGCTTCTCTGAGGCTGGGACACCCTGGATAGAGCGTCCATCGAGGCACGATGGAGCGAGCGTGATCAGCGGCAGGCATTCTTGTTGTCCAGCTGGGGTTGTCAGAAAATCACAGGACCAGAGAAAGGAGGGAGCTCATCTCCACCCAGGGTGTCTGCTCTCCTGATGGTAACAGCCCTTATCACCAGGGCGGGATGAGGACAGTGCAGGATGCTGTCTTTAGAACAGGCAGAACCTAGAAGGGAACACAATCAAATCTCCCTCATAAAGAAAGATTCCCCTGCTCTGGCTTCCTGTCCAGCATCCGGGGGACAAGGAGGAAGGAAAGTTTTCCTTTATCTTGTATGTGCCTGCCTGAAGGTGTTTAATTTGTAATCAAACATGACTATACATGTTTGAAACCTTAATAGTATCCATTATGAGGTGGGTGGGTGGGTTTTGATTGTTGCTATTTTGTTTGGTTTGGGGGGTTTTAGTTGTTTGTGTCCCCCCCCCCCGCTAGTTTTGTTGTTGCTTTGTTTTGTGTCTTTCTTTTCTTTTTTTCTGTTTTTTCTTTTTTGTTGTTACTTTTTATTTATTTGTTTTATTTGAGACAAGGAAATGCTATGTAGCTCAGGCTAGTCTGGAAGTTGTATTCTCTTCCTTCAACCTCCCAGGTGCTAGATAGGCACATGCCACCCAGCCCGGCAAGGTATACTTTTTTTTTTTTAATGTCTTAAGCATCAATAAAAAGATAAATTTTTAAAATGCAAGTCAGCATTGTGGCACACTCCTTTATCTGAGCACACAAGAGACAGGGGTGAGTGAAGTTCTAGGCTGGTCTGGTCTACGGAGGGAGTTTCAGGCTAGCCTCAAAAGGAATGAAGAAAGGAAGGTAAGTATGAAAAATGGCAAAAGGAATTTAAACTCTGCTCAGTCGACCTGCATTTCCTGAAACCTCCTATTACTCAGAAACCCTTACAGACTATTTAGGAGAAGGGAAAAATCTTTCTGGTTCACCAGCTTCCAAAGAATGGTAGAACTAGTTTTATGAAGGAGGATGACCAGGAACTTGAACATGGCCAGAACTGGAAGACCAGGGCATTGCAGGCTTCGATCCGGCAATGGGAGGGCTCTTCAGCATCCATGCTTCTCTTCTGAGTCACATGACTCTCAGTTTTTCCAGACCCGACCTGAGGTTATCCTGAACAAAGGGACATCAGATGAGTGGAGATTCCATGTACAGCCAGCTCTCACGCTCATTTAGAAAATGTGAGTTCTGGACCAGCACTTGGGAGACAGAGGCAGGCAAATCTCTGAGTTTGAAACCAGCCTGGACTACAGAGTGAGTTCCAGGACAGCCAAGGCTACATAGAGAAACCCTGTCTCAAAAAAACAGAAACAAAAATGCAAAAGAAAAAAAGAAAGAAAGAAAAGATAATGTGAGTTCATTTCAGTTAGATTAAAATAAAAAATATAAGGGGGAAAATCTGACCAAAATACAAGTTCCTCCTGGGCTATTTCATCTGTGTGGAGGGTGGGGTGGGGGAAGTTAATGCAGAAAATCTCAAAAAGAAAAAAAAAAAGCCAGAATCCACAAAATGTACATATCTTCCCAATAGTCTTGAAGATATATTATCCTAATTTTCATAGTTATCTTAACCAAGTGTGCTACCCTACAGGGTTAGGTTTTGCTAGTCTTTCACTATTATGAACACACACACACTCATTCTTTTATGATGATAGAGATCTTGTAGCCTAGACAACTTCCTATACCACAGTTCCATCACCACTAGATCCAATACATGAATTTAAGGGAGCACATCCCCACAATGGCATCATGGGAATAAAATTGCGTTGGGTGGGTTACTCAGTCTAGGGGTTTGTAACCCATCCTGCAATCAGTTATTCTAGGGTCTCGGAGGGGCGCTACCTGGAAGGGAATGAGCTAAGACAGAAGAAGAAGGCCAAGCAGATTTGTCAAAGCCTCCGGTTTATTAGGGTCATGGTTGCTGCTTATATAGGCCCGGGATGAGGACTTTGAGGGGCAGGGAAACTGGAATCTTGCCGCGTGTTCCAGGTCACGTAGGCCAGGACGTAGGCCAGGAAGTCACAAGTTGCCACACCTGGTTCCCTGGATAGCTGGAATGTGAGGCAGGTTCTGCTAACAGATTAACAGTTAATTGGGTGTGGGGCAGATTCTCAATAGAACATAATTATGGGTGTGGGGTTCTCTGCAGACCCCCCAGGGTGATAGTTCCTGTAATGATTTTTAGGGGGGAAATGGCTCGTGACAATCTATGGGTAGAACTGCTCCAAGTGCTAACAAATCAGTACGAGTAGGCCTGAGTAGGAATCTAGACCGTGCATGGTGGCTCACACCTATAAGCCCAGCACTCAGGAGAAAGCAGCAGGAGAGATGTTGAGTTTGAGGTCAGCCTGTGTCAAACTGTATCATAATGGAGATCCTGTCTCAAAGGAGAGAACAGAAGAGATAGAATGGGCATGTCAGAGAAGGAAAACCACACAGCAGAGACAGGAAGGCAGTTCTCTCGTAAAGATAAGGCACGTCTGCCAAATTCTGCAGACCTGGCAGCTTTGGTGCTCTGAGTGGCTGGTTTGGTGGATTCAAACATCAGGTTTTCCAGTGGCCTTGGCTGTTGGGTGGAGCTTCAGGCGTGAATCAGAAAGACAGGAGCAAAATTTCAAGCAGGGATAGATACAAAAGTTAGCTAAAGATCCCGTTTTCAACTTGGATGTAAAAGGTATCCATTTCAAATATATGTATCAAAAAGCCTGCTTGCCAAGGCCAGAGAAGGAAGCCGAAAATGCTGGGACTTTCCTCCTACCCCCTCGTCATAACTCACACTCTGCCACCCTCTGGGCACCCACTTCACAAACAAACTCCAGGTCTTTGTTCGCAACGAAATGCTGAAGTTACTGTAGCATTTATATATTCATAAATGGTTTAACGTGCCCAGCACCGCGCTAACATGTTTATTAGGTTCCTGTTTTTGTTTTCATTTCACTGACAAAATCCTCTGGTACGGTACCCGTGGCCCACGTCTCTATAAACCCTGTGGTTTTATTGTGCAATCTTGCATAGCCCAGCGAATCTGAGGAATGCATATATTGTATGACAGCAGTACATACAACGCACTGTACTGTAGTATGTAAAACGGCCACACTTTATGAAAGTACCTGGTTCTTTAATCCCTGTGTGTCTCCCTCGGCCATTGTTTAGCTACCACATCCTACAAGTGAGAATCTATAAATTAAAACAATGCCCCGAACCAGAACCTTCTGGACTCCTCTGCCCTGCTTGCGGCTGAGTCAATTTCTTAATGACTCTGCCCTGAAATGACTTCATGAAGCACCCACAGAACTCCTTCCTGTCCTTTGTCTTCAACTGTGTACATCTTGTCCTTGCTGAAGGCAGGCTACCTGCTAGAATCCTGATTGCTTCCCATTCCATGGCAGCTGATTGTCGAGACTTCCTCCAAACTGGACCCTTCCTGGGTAATTAAAGGAACGGCCCAGAAGGCTCACACAGATCTATGGGATGCACACACTCAAAAGGAGCCTGGTTGTGGGCTTGGCAGGCCTAGAGCTGCCTCTGGTCTGTTCTGGAAGGCTCCACTTCCTGCCGGACGGCAGGTTTGTCTCAGCAGGAGTGACCAGAGACCAACCTGCAGGAGGTGAGAAGAACAGGATGGAAATCAGACCCATGGCTACCAAGAAAACCACATTTTAACCACCACCATTTATGAAAGCTCTTCCTGGGGAAGTTTTATTATTCTTTCCTGGCTACCTAACACATGTCAGGTTTGCAGAGTTAAGGAAATCCCCCACTGGGTAAGCTTTATTTTACTTTAAAGAGGGAGATTTTAGTCCTTCCTGTTTCTAAACTCCAGGAGCTTTGTCTACATAAGAACACCACTGTGTGGCTCAGTTGAGACAACCTCACAATGAAAGGTGTAAATTATATTGCTCCAATGAGAGAGAGAAAGAGAGAGACTTATTAAGCCAAAAGAGGCAGTCAGTAGAATCCTACTGAAATCTGAAAGACTTCCTCTTTTCTTTCCTCTTCCTTTTATATATCCCTCCCCACTCTTCTTCAAATTCATGGCCTCTTTTTTTCACCAATTGTTGCTGCAAACATACATGCATATGTATATACATATATATTCCAAAATATAACCTAGTTAGTCCACATAATGTTACTTGTATGTTTTCAGGGTTGACTGTTTGGTATTGGACAACTAATTGGTGTGCTCTTCCCTGGGGAGGGCCACCTCCCCCACTCCCAGCTTTCCTCGGTTGCCTGAGTTCTTTGTTTAGGGATGAGACTTTGTGGTCTTCAGGCGTTTAGATGGTCATGTTGGTGAGTTTATGGGTACAGCTTGTGGTATCACTAGGAGACACAATCTCACAACAAACTCCCTGATCCTCTGGCTCTCACAATCTTTCCACCCCTTCTTTCCCAAAATTCCCCGAGTCTTAGGTAAGGTGTGTTTTGTGGATGTCTACATCGGGTCTGGGCTCCACAACTTGGCACTCTGTAATCATCTCCATCCATTACAAAAATTCTTGATAAGAATTGAAGACTACACTTATTTGAGGTCCTAAGGGCGAATGTTTATAGATGGTTGTTAGAGATTGTATTGGTTTAGTACATTAGTGGTTCTAGATGCTCCTCCAGTAACGGTGACTTCTCTAGCACTGAGTGGATAACTAGATTCCAGTACCGGGCAGCTTTTCTCTCCTGTTGAAGGGGTCTTAAGTTCAGTTAAAGAGCTGTTGGCTGCCAACAAGGTATGTGTGACACTACTGTACCCTTAGGATTATTGAGTCACGCTGGCCATTGATGTGGCTCATAGATATCACATCATAGCTAGGTGGGACTGTTGGTTGCTCCCTGCCTTTGGAAGCTAGCATGGTGTCTTCTTGTTCTATGAGAGCTAATTCTCAAGCAGGGGGCATTCAGCTCAGTTCCGGCTTGTGGCTGATGAGGGAAGGCTCTGGGCCCTGTTTCTGAAGGCCCTGATTTCTTCAGCAGTAGGAACTTACCTTCCACCTTTGGAAGGGCAACAACAAGAGGTGGTATGTTTTTGAAGAGCCCAGGGCCAAAAACTCACAACAGGGCTTCTCACGGCTGGTATTGGGGTTTTTGGTAACTGGTCTTTGGCACTGGGAAAAGTGTTGTCGGTCCAGATAAGAAAAGTTGGTTAAAACTACATATTGATACCCAGAATTATATGTCCTATGGGTTTTCTT